AAGTTATCACTACTCACTGGACACAAGATCTACTCACTTGGCAGGCATTGTAGACCTGGCCATGGCAGACACCCACTGTCTACATCTCAGAGGCTCATTTATTTGTAATGCATAGCCTGCTCGTTTCAAAAAAGAATTCCTGAAAAAAGAACCTACAGAGTAGCACAAGTAAGAAATAAGAGTTTAAGAGATCAGGTACAATTTAAAATAAGAGGAAAAATTAAGGTTTTATCAGATGTACCTCCGATTTCCTTTCAGTAGGCAGAATGAACCCTTTTTTTGCTAAGAGTCAAACCAGCTGTCAGCATGGATACAGGTCAGACTGCCAGGGAAGTGTAATCACTGGAAGGAAAAATTCCTAACTTTCCCCTCAAACCTGGAGATTGTGGAGGAGAAGATAAGAAGAGAGGTGAGCATATAAACTCCATGTTGTAAATAGTAATGGAAACACCAGACTGCATACTACAGTTGTTTCTGGATGTTCTTCAGTGGAATTTTCTGAGAGGTACCTGAAGGAAATAACACATATAAGTTTTCTGGGCAAGTTTCCAGCTTTATAGTACATGAAGATCTTTGTGGTTAGTAAAGAGTTCAAGAGACGTTTAGAATTCCTTTCTGGTTTTGGTCCTAAACATTCAGGAAAGAAAACTTGCTTCAATATTTTTCTTTTAGTACGAGAGTCTTGACAGTTTGCTGTGGCCTCTTCAGTCTTTTCAAATGAAACAAAAATTCTTTGTGTAGAGGAAGAATTAAAAATGTTGATGGGAAGATTCTTTGTTTAAAAAATATATACAAGCAGATTGTTGATATGTAATCAGATAAATGCATTCAAGTTTGTAAGTACAAAAGGATCTACAGTGAGAAGTTGCCCTCTCACTCACTTTCTGTCTACCTGAAGATCCTTTCCCTAGAAGCAGCCATTTTTATCTCTTTTCCTGTATGATGCTCCAGAAATTATTTATGACTACATAATTGCGTAAAGGTCCACTAAAAAATACAAATGCTCTATGCACTAACTGTTCTGTACCTGGCTTTTACCAACATTTGCAGTGTATCTTGGAGACTGTTCCAAGTCAGCTGGTAGACAGCTCCTTCCTTCATTTTTGTTGTTGTGTGGTATCAGTGTTCCTTTACGGGTATGATGTTTAGTATTCCATTCCATCACATGAAACAGAATTAATATCTATTGGTTGATTTAATCGTAGTATCATCGCAATATTTATAAATAGTCTATGAATATTTAACCAGCCCTGTACTGATCTTTAAATTGCTTTCTGTCTTATTCTATTTATAACTATACTAAAAACATATGTCACGTGTACATGTATATCTGTAGGTAAAAGGATGACTAGGTTGAGGTTTATATAATTTTTATTGTATATACTCAATGTGTATAGCCCAATGCTTTGATATACATGTACATAGTGATGTGATAATTACATTAAAGTAAATTAAGATACCTGTCATCTCAGATATTCACTTTTGTGTTGGTGTGTGTAAGAGCCCCTAAAATCTACTCTCAACAAATCTCCAGTGTACAGCAAATATTGACTGCAATTCTCAAGCTGTACAGTCCTCTCTAGCCTTCTTCATCCTATCTAACTGCAACTCTGTACCCTTTGACCGCTACCTCACCTTTCCCCTTACCCCCACATTTGTAATTTTGATGGACATTGCTAAGATGTCTTCATCTACATGTCCCTCATTCACCATGTCCTCGGTATATGGGTCAAATTTTTTGATATCCACTAATGTAATAAGTGAAAAACACTGTAAGTATGATTCCATTCAGTCATAATTTGCATTGCTGTAATTTATGTAAGGTTGGTCTTTTTTTGTTTGTTTTTCTCATATGCTTAAGAGTGATTTATGTTCCCTTTCATGTGAGCTACCTTTTCTCCTTCTTTGGCTCTTTTTTTTCTCACCATGGTCCTGGGAATGGAAGCCAGGGCCTCTCACATGCTAGGCAAATGCTGCACCACTGAGTAACATCCGCAGCCCAGCCTTACTGTTACTGACTATAGCAGCTCTTTATATTTGGGAATCAAAGGACTTCCAACCTGCCTCTCATCCTTCCTCTCCCCAAGTCCTTGATTGTCATTTATGTTTCAGGTAGAGTTTTTGATTGTTTTGCTGTACGTGTTGCTTTGATGTGTCAAAGTTACCAATCTTGCTACACGCCATCCGTAGGAAGGCCCTCCCCCTTCTAGGATCCCAACACCAAGTTCCTTGGTGTAGCACTAGTGCTGTTGTGGCTTCACTTTTCACAGTCAGTCATTTCACTCACCTACAATTTGTAGAGGTAAAAGGTGTGGAGTGGGTAGGCTTCCTTTTTGTGTTTGTTTCAAATGGCTGTCAGGTTTTCTCAATTTATTGACCTTGACATGCCACTTTTATTACATACTTGATTTCCATATATGTGTATCTTGGGCCCATTTCCCATCTTTGTAATTTGTGTCATTGGCTTTCCAACTATCTGCCAGACTCTGTTATGATGTGTTTTTGAATGTCTGGGAGAGCTGGTATCCCCTATTTTTGGAGAGACACTTCACTACCTTTGCACTATTTTACCACATGTACTTAAAAATCAACTTGTCTATAAGCCCAGCAAATTTTTTAAAAATCCAAGAAATATGTTTTTGAAGTGGGAGTGCATTGAATTATGTAGGCATAACTTAGAAATGACATTTTGGTGTTGAGTCTTATTTAAAATCATGGAGTATCTTTTTAATTGGTTTAACTTTCACACTGCATTTTAAAGTTTTCTTCATATAAACTTTGCCTATCTCTTAAGATTTTTCTAGGTGTTTTACCGTTTTGGTATTGTCATAAATAAGGCCTCTTTTATTCTGGTTTGTGTAAAGGCTGCTGTTTCAGCATGTTAATTTTCTCCTGTGTGCCTTATTAAAATCTTATAATATTTGTAATAGGTTTTCTGTTGACACTCTTCGATATTCCAGGAAAACAGCCATATTAGCAAAAATCAATTCTGTCTTCTCCTTCCCGGTTTTGGTTTTACTTTCCCTCACTAGTCTTTGACTAGCGCCTCCTGTGCAATGACACATGTTAGTAATAGTTACAGCAGTGATGTCATCTCTTGACCTAATGGCAACGTTTCTAGTCATTTATGATCCAGCAGTAAATAAAATCATTCTTTCATGTGTAAGGAATTATATACGTATGTGTATACACATCCTGGAGGAGTCATCCAACTATGCTCCTTTCCTTAGCAGTTATACTAATAATGAATGTAAATGTTCTAAAACTTGAATATCACCAATTCTGTCTTCTCCTTCCCGGTTTTGGTTTTTACTTTCCCTCACTAGTCTTTGACTAGCGCCTCCTGTGCAATGACACATGTTAGTAATAGTTACAGCAGTGATGTCATCTCTTGACCTAATGGCAACGTTTCTAGTCATTTATGATCCAGCAGTAAATAAAATCATTCTTTCATGTGTAAGGAATTATATACGTATGTGTATATACACATCCTGGAGGGAGTCATCCAACTATGCTCCTTTCCTTAGCAGTTATACTAATAATGAATGTAAATGTTCTAAAACTGATATCACCACTCAGTAATAGTAGAGACCACCAAATTATAAAGTTAAAATGGTTGATTTATGATATAAAATATGCCTTAGTAAGGTTAGTGAACTGTTTTGTCAAATGCCTTTTAATTATTCATAGGGATGACCATATACTCTTTCACTTTTGCTATGTCATAGGGTAAATTGTTTTAATAAGATAAGATACTTATATTCCTAGAGTAAACCCCACTTACACATAGTATGTTGATATTTTTAGGTGCTGCTGCTCAATTATGTTTGCTAATTTTTCAACTTAGGATTTATATCAATATTTAAAGCAGAGATTCTATGTAGTGTCTTTTGTGTACCTTCTTTGTTAATTGATAGTGTCAATATTATACCTCATCTTTAAGATAAGAACTTGGAAACTTTGCTTCTTTCAGTATGTGTTGGGATAGTTTAAACAGTATCAGAATTATTCCTTAGAGGTTTCTGAATAATTCTAGTTATCTAGTCCTGGTTTTTTTTTTATAACATACTATTTATTCCTTGGAGGGACAGTGTGGGAGGTTGATCTGTGGTTGACCTGTTTAAGATATCTGCCCCTCCTACTTTGGTCAGGATGTAGCTCATTATGTCTCAGTAAATGCTGTGTAATAGTTCATGTTGTTTGAAGCCCTCCTGGTACAGCTTGAGGTGGCCTGTCATTGTTGCTTTCAAGAGTGGAAGCTCTTGGCTCATATTTAGTGTTTATGTCTAACATTCCCATATTTGTCTACAAAAGATATTGCATTGCTTTGATGTTGGGATGTTGATCCTGTAAACCATACCATGTGTCACATTGCTTTCTGTATCCTTACTGCTATCCTTGTACACTCAACCAGTGGTCTCCAGTTTCACTGGGGATCATGTGGCTGACACAGTGTTGGTTCTTAATAGGCACAACTGATTTATCTTACTTGTATACATTATAAGTACTTAGTAATTCTAGTGAGTGAAATACTTGTTTAGTATCTCTTATGGGTTCATTTGAAGAAGATGAAAAAGACATGTTCCTTGTGTATAAAAGAGATTATACTATAGTTGGAGAGGTAATGATGAATGTAAAATTGAAAGAATAATTATAGTAAATATATGTATTCAAATACATTTAAAAGGATAGATGTTTACATATTTACTTAAGATAGACTGAGTTTGAGATAATTTTCAGATAAAGTTCCCTTTCTGTGGCCAGGTTTACAAATTAGAGAACTGGAAAGTTTTAATGGTAGATTGCTTTTCCTTATCCCACGTGTTTTTGAGTTTGGCTAAGAAATAGAAACCACAATGCTGTAGGAACAAAGGTGCAAAAAATGATAATTTTGATATAAATTTAGATTATGATATTAAGAAACATAGTATCATGGTTGATATGATTATATTGAGTATGTTGAAGATTTATTGACCAAATATACTTTCCTTTTCTCATAGATTTATCTAAAAACAGACTGGTGGAAGTTCCAATGGAATTGTGTCATTTCGTGTCACTGGAAATTCTTAATCTGTATCACAATTGTATCAGAGTCATTCCTGAGGCCATTGTTAATCTGCAGATGCTGACCTACTTGAACTTGAGGTAGGTTAATTATAAAAGTTTTGATCAAATTCAGTGATGAAATATCAGGTAATTATGTATCATTCCTGTCATTTTTCCTCTTTGCAGTTCCTAACTAGTCTTTGAGGTAAATCATACAGGAACCATTTAAAAAACATCTTTTGTAAAAAAAAAAAATTGTAGTGCCTTTAATATCGTTCTTGTTGCTGGACTTCCTGAATGCCAATGTGATAAGATTCTTGAAGAAGTAATTTATACCCTTTGTCTGATTGGTGCTTATAAGGTTGTAGGTATTACTGCCTTCATGTATTCATGTAGATTTTGGAGGAGATGGAGAAGGGTAAGGGAAGTGAGAAAGAATTGGGGAGTTGAGTCAAATTAGGGGTCTCTGGGGGGTTCTTGGTACCATTGGCCTTTGCTACTGAGTACTAATTGAACTCATTCACTTTAAGCTACTTTAAGAAAGTTGACAAGCTCTAAGCTACTATAACCAGTTAGAAGGAGCTTTAATAACTAGGCAAGCTCATCTAATTTTATAAGCAGCTCAAATACTTTCTATAGTACTTAGAGTTTTCCCCTCGTTTCTAACTAGGAGGAAAGACTTGTTAGCTATTGTACAAACAAGGTGCATCTCAAATTTTCACAGATTTCATGTTTTTTACACTTAAAATTAAACATGGACTCACTGTACCACTTTTTTTTTTTTCCAGTTTTGGGGATCAAATCATGGCGGGCCATAACCTCATTCCCAATCTTGCCGTTTTAAATTTTGTCCTCTCTTAATAAGTCACATCCAGAAATTACTAATTTTGTACATTCCCAAGTAGGAGAGATACTTTGAATTTATGAGAAACATTCAAAGCTGATTACACCCTCTGGGAAGTGTTATATAAAAATTCTAGCAGAGTCAATGGTCATATGTATTTGATGGTGGAGGCCATGATGGCGTGGGGGGGGCAGTGCCACTGCTTACCCAGGTTCTTTATTGGCATGGTCTTTCAGCGATGTTCTTTAATGTCAAATGGTTTCTTGGTGCCAACAACCCTTCATCTATGACTTAAACTAGACACGGGTTTTAATTAGCACATGAAAAAAAAATCTTTACCACGAAGTGTAGTTGAAAACACTAGAATGTTTTCCACATTATCTCACAAGATGGGAACATTATATTTGTGGAAAATACTAATTTATTGCTGTTTATGTAGCCTGTGCTTGAAGGATCTGGGCTTTTAATCTCTGCTTCTTGGTGTTCACAACAAAAGGTTATACTAGTTTAGTATATGTGCTACTGTGTGTCTTCCTGTTATAAAGTATCTTAATCCAAGAAATGTGGCCAAGAACAATAAAAATGATTAAGCAAGACTTGTTCTGATCTAGGAACAAATACTTTGAACCTGAAACACATAGGAAAGTTTAAAATCTATTTTAAGTAATTGGAAAGGTAGTTGTTGATGAAGTTCATGAAGAAAATGTACCTTAGGAAAAAAAAATAATCCAGATTATCAGAGACTGGCAATAATTGGAAGGTTTTGAATTTAAGACCTTGGCTTAGAAGTCTCATCTAAGATTGGTTCTGGGATAGTGGCTGCCAAAAATAGAAAGTTCTTTACAGCTTTGACCCTACCACTTCTAGAACTTAGGTGAGTGGTTTTGCTTGTCTCTAGGGAAGCCCGCATGGCTAGGCATGGTTTATTCACCAGAAACCCCAGTCTCTCCCAGCCTGCTTGGAATGGGTTCTGAGGCATTGCCTGTAGAGAAGAGAGCACTGTCTTGCACAAAATGTTATCATACCATAAAAGGAATGTGTTTTTGGCTGCTTTCTCTGAAGCCTGGTATCCTTTTTGGCTGCTAAACAATGTGCGAAAAAGAGCCAACTTCCTGATGGCCGTCTAACCCGTATCCCCACATTCTTTTGGGACTCATTTGGAGAAATAATCTGTAATCCTCACAATATTGCCCTCTGTTTGAAGGATCCTGCATGCTAGGTTTGCCTTAGAAAGCACAGATTTTACATTTTTGTTGTGAACCAAAGATTAATTTTCATTGTTCCTCTCCTTGCACTGATATTTCTGAGGAAGGCATCTATAGCAAAGTACTGTTTTTTTCTCTCTAGAAAATGGAGAAATTGTGTCTTCCTAAACTGAAAAAGAGGAGGAGTTTTCTTTAATTCAATACATACTTAAATCCCACATCCTTTCATGGTTTTTTATATGCCAAGCTGGGTCTTATGAAATGACAGATTGGTAGAGAGTCACCAAAACACAATGAATTGGAATTTGAAAGTATTAATCTTAAAATTTGAAATGATTTTTCAAAGAATGGCAGAGTTAGAAGAGGCCTTGGGGCATCCAGTCCCATATGTGTGACTGGCCACATGTAGTTTAAGCCTTGTCCCCTTTCTAGTGTTCACCAGCCATTTGTTTTTAAGGTGGAACCTAGAGTCAGTGGGCTTTACAGTGTTTAATGTGTTTATAAATTGCTGTGCTTGTAGACTTATAGTCCATTGGCATTGGCAGCTGGTAGACTTTATTAAGCATGAATGAGTTAATAATTGGATATTTCTTATCAAATTCCATTCCTTTTAGTATAGCCCATACTTGGCAAGACTGACAAAGAGGATTTTTCCATTATACACACCACCTGATCACAGGTGTTTTAGTTTGGTGTTCGTATTGAAAAAAATAAAAATAAAAAAGAACAGTGACATGAAAGGGATACTTTGGCCTGGATAGCTAGGGCACAGTGAGAATTTGTGTTTGTTTCCAGTTCTGCTTCTGAACTTAATAGAAATACTGAGATCTTTGTGCTTCAGATGGCTCTCTGGAAATGAGGTGAATTCTTAGCTCCTAATTCATTGTATAGATTTCTGTAGTAATTCTCAGAGTTTATTCAGCAAGGCCAAAATGAACAAACTCCAAATTGCATTTGTTTTTGTAACTGGACAGATAAAAGACCTTTGAAACAATGCTATTTTATTGATAAACAACTTAGTATATTTTCTTTAAGAATATTGCAGTTTACCAAGTCTAATAACAAGCCATGTACATGAGAAGAGATAAAAGAGAATATACACATGTACAAAAAAGAGAAGGAGTGGATTTTTGAGTCATCATTATCATCATAACCAACACCATTTTTGAATAGCCAAATAGGATCTAGCCATTACACTGTTAAATCCAGGCCCCTCAGCAACTCTTTGCTTTAGATCCCTAGGCTATACCATCTTGTAAATAATAGAAATGAGTGAGAGGAATGAGATGTATTGCTTTGGCATTTTGTAGTTTGCCATGTACTTTCACCTTTGCTGTTTTGCTAAATACTGTCACCATTGAATTCTACACTCCTTAGAACAGTTTCATGACCCTGAAAATGGTTTTAAGGGAATTTTCCAGGGAGACAAGCTTTATATGCAAATAAGAGAAAGCCTTTTCATTTTAAAGTTGCTTCTGTGCTGATGGTTAGTTCCCCCTTTAAGTTTTTAAAACTATAGATTTGTGCATTCTTTTTTCAGAAGTTGTTTTGCAGGACATTCAAGGCAAGGATTTCCCTGTACACAGAGCTTCAGAATTTTTGATATACAGTGTTTTAGTCAGCCTTCTGTACCACAACATAATTTATGAGGCAATTAACTTAAAAAAGATTTTGGCTCACAGTTTTGAAGGTTCTAGTCCAAGATGGGGTAGCCCCATGGATTAGGGCTTCTGGCAGAGGTGGCACATAACAGTCAAGCACAGAACACAGCAAGCCACTCACCTTATGATCCAGGGAGTAAAGAAAGAGACAAAAAGGAACTCCCTTCAAAGACAGGCCTCTCACAGACCTATGGACCTAGCATAAGATCCAGCCCACCTCCAGAGGTCTAACAGCACCATGCTGGGGGCCAAGCTTTTGCTACTTGTCCCTTGGGGGTGGGGGGCACTCATCCAAACCATAGCATGAACTGTTTTTATAATCACTCCTAAACTTTTGCTGATTCCCAGTACTACTTTTTTTTTTTTATTTTTATTTTATTATTCATATGTGCATACAAGGCTTGGTTCATTTCTCCCCCCTGCCCCCACCCCCTCCCTTACCACCCACTCTCCTCCCTCCCTCTCACCCCCAACCCCTCAATACCCAGCAGGAACTATTTTGCCCTTATCTCTAATTTTGTTGTAGAGAGAGTATAAGCAATAATAGGAAGGAACAAGGGCTTTTGCTGGTTGAGATAAGGATAGCCATACAGGGCATTGACTCTCATTGATTTCCTGTGCGTGGGTGTTACCTTCTAGGTTAATTCTTTTTGATCTAACCTTTTCTCTAGTACCTGTTCCCCTTTTCCTATTGGCCTCAGTTGCTTTAAGGTATCTGCTTTAGTTTCTCTGCATTAAGGGCAACAAATGCTAGCTAGTTTTTTAGGTGTCTTACCTATCCTCACCCCTCCCTTGTGTGCTCTCGCTTTTATCATGTGCTCATAGTCCAATCCCCTTGTTGTGTTTGCCCTTGATCTAATGTCCACATATGAGGGAGAACATACGATTTTTGGTCTTTTGGCCAGGCTAACCTCACTCAGAATGATGTTCTCCAATTCCATCCATTTACCAGCGAATGATAACATTTCGTTCTTCTTCATGGCTGCATAAAATTCCATTGTGTATAGATACCACATTTTCTTAATCCATTTCGTCAGTGCTGGGGCATCTTGGCTCTTTCCATAACTTGGCTGTTGTGAATAGTGCCGCAATAAACATGGATGTGCAGGTGCCTCTGGAGTAACAGTCTTTTGGGTATATCCCCAAGAGTGGTATTGCTGGATCAAATGGTAGATCGATGTCCAGCTTTTTAAGTAGCCTCCAAATTTTTTTCCAGAGTGGTTGTACTAGTCTACATTCCCACCAACAGTGTAAGAGGGTTCCTTTTTCCCCGCATCCTCGCCAACACCTGTTGTTGGTGGTGTTGCTGATGATGGCTATTCTAACAGGGGTGAGGTGGAATCTTAGTGTGGTTTTAATTTGCATTTCCTTTATTGCTAGAGATGGTGA